AATCATTCATAGATGATTTTACTTAACTGGAAGTAGACAGGCAGATCACAACACCCTCCCTTCCACTAAAAAATTCCTGACAAAGGTGAGGCTCATGGGACTACGTGAGCTGAGAAGCAACATACCAAAATAATGCCCTGCCTGTCCTCTCTTCTGGCACTTTCTCCAGGTCTCTCTGGCTTATGTTAATAAACTGTCAGATACTTAATTACCCAAACACTGGTCATCTTTTCCTTTTCCTCCAGCAAATCCTACTAGCAGCCAGCACAGAATTGCCTCCACGCATTCCCTGGGTGCTCTGTGCTGCAGGTTCACCCCGCTCGGAGGAGAGGGTGAATCAGTCGCTGTACTCCTGTCACATCCTTCAGCCACGTGTTCAGGGTGTCACCACAACAGCTCATACTATTCATCATAAAAAAAATAGGTTTGTGGACAAAAATTACTCTTTCAGCAAAATGGAAATGTCCAGGAAAGGTAGACTGGGGTTTTATTAGCAGAAGTTTTTTTTAAAAAAAAAAAAAAAGTTGTAAGATTTCTTTAAATCTCCAAAGTTGCCAAGAGCAGAACTTTTTCAATTGCTGATTTTTTTTTTTTTTAATGGAAAGGCAAAGAAAATCTACAAGAGTTTAGGTAACGAATGCTACATTTCAATGGCATTTTTATAAGGAAAATGTTGTTTCCCTTAAGCTAGTCTCCGTGTGTTTATAGTAAGTCCCAAGCTAGACTTTTTAAGTGAATCATTTGGAGAACAATAATTCCTCTTGAAAGGAATCTGGCATGTCTGAAACTCCCAATTATTGCTAACCACGACAGATACTGCCAGCCCATTTGGTGTGAGCTGCCCACGCTGACAGTGGAAAGCCAGGTGCTCAGCGGATGCTCCTGGGCTGGAAACCGGAGGGTGTGGAGGAGGACCTTGGATGGGGTGAAGGGTGCGGGTCCGTCCTTCCCGGCAGGGAGGCCTCACTCCTGCCTGTGCACCAACCTCTCACGCTGCCAAGTCTCCAGCGGGGAGTACACGTATGAACCACTCGTGGATGGTTTGGGTGATGCTCCTGGGTGAGCCCCAAGAGCTCTCCTTGGCTGAGCAGAGTGGCAGCCCTATAACGGTACACGGTCTTTCCCAGAGCAGCACAGACGAGGCCGCCAAGGGCTTCCTCTGGTGTCCTTGTCACCTTTTTATTACGGAATATGTCGTTTCCGCACAGAGTCCCTCTGCATCTGAGTCGCACAGGAGAGAAGCTGGTAGCGGCTCTGCCAGCGGCCTGAGGCACCCAATTCCCACTGGTTTCTGCGCTCACGTGGTGGCAGGCGCCCGAGCTCAGGTTGGCACCGAGAGCAGCTGCTTCCACCTCACGGTGCTGGCTGCCGCAAGCTCCCAGCACGCCTGGGTCTAACAGAGATAACCCCGGGTATAACTGGGTTTGCTCCTCTTCTCCCTCGCCCATCGGGATGATGGACCAACACCAGTTTCACCCCGCGCATGAAACTTCACCAGGTGTTTTGTGAGTTTCGTTGTCTTTAGCGTTTCTCACGCAGCCCTCCCTCCCCTTCAGTGCCGCTGCTGTCTCCAAGGCGAGCAATCGGCATGACTCAGATTTCACTGCTGTCGACTTGGCGATGGGCTGTTCAGTCCTGTCTGGACAGGAATCCTCACCCGTTCTCAATCCGATCTTCTCAAGGAAGAATAGGCAGCAACAGAGCTTGCTCCCAGGGTGAGACTCGGCTCCTATCACTTGCAATCAACACAGATAAACACACCATGGTAAGATGTAGCAACAAAGCGTTCAGGAGCTTAAAAAAGCACAGATACTACAAGGAAAAATGCTTTGGAGCTTTATTCTCCCTCAGCCGAAGCACTCCTTGTTGTGGGACTCTGTTCTGCCTCCCTGCCCTGTCCCTTCGGAGTGGCACAACCACTGTATGCATGAGCAGCTGATGGTTTAGCATTTTATCCCCTGGTCTGCACTCTGGAGGCAGAGGGAAATTGGAAGGGGGAGCTTGAGATCTCAGCCGCTTGTAGCTGTGTCCAGTTTATGAAGAATACAAGTTTGAAAAGTGCCCGAGGAGCCTGCGTCTCGTTTTCACGAGCTTCGTTGGATAGCTCTGGCTGTGCTGCTTGCAGACATCACCCCCTCATCACTGCCTGCCCCACGCCTCTGCTAGGAGAAACTGTCCCTGCAGCAGCGATGGCACAATGGAAAACCTGCCCTACCCTCCACCTGGCATACTACAGCAAAGGCACTTTCCAAAAGTTGTACGCTCTGCCCTGAATTCAAGAGCTCTAGAATGTGGGCACACGTTGCCCGGTGGTGCTCCTGTTACAAAGCAGCAAACTCCAGCAGAAAGGAGGGGCCAGATTAGGACTGCAGCATTTTAGGCTACTGCAGCAGGACTCACTGGAGGCTTCTGTCAGGATCCTGTTGTGCTTAGAAACTGCAAAGTCCTTGGAAGTCAGTGGGCAGACAGCACAGCAGCTCCTCCCGTACACTGGGACCACACTGGTCCCAGTGAGCTTGCACCAATTGACCCAGCTGAAGACTTCGACAAAGGTGACACGATGTCCCCATCATTTATTGCACATTTATTTCATCTTGTTTCTTTTCCAGAGTTCACATGACCCCTAGTAGTCACTGAAGTACCTTTGAGTGGAGCCGTGTGAGTTGCCTCAGATAAAACCCTGCAGCTGGAGCAGCTCTGCAGACGAGATGTCACCCAGACTCTGTCCCACCTCCCTCCCAGAGAGGTCAGCTCTGCTCTGACCCTATTCCAGAAGGTCAGCAGGGCTAACGAATATCTGAAGAAAGAGGGTGATTCGAGGAGGTAAGCAGATATGATGACACATTTAGGCACCGTTTTGGCATCAGATGCCTTTTGGTTCATGCAGCTACAGGAGACCATCGTGTCAGTTTGCTTCTACAGCCTGCTTCCGACTCAGCATTAGCAATCTCTGTGAAGTAGAGATGCAGGAGAAAGACATCCAAAATCCAGATTCAAACACACATGAACTTTACTTTCATCACTCCCTGCAATGCCCCTTCCATGTGGCTACGTCATGTTTGTCCACTGCAAACTCTCTGCTCTCTGGCAAAACAAACTCTCCTTTTACGCGCAGCGCCTTGGTGCTGAGGCTCGGGCAAAGCGAGGGTGGGCTAGTGAAACACGAACGTGCAGGACCAGTGGCCTCCCCGCCTGTGTGCACAGACTCACACTGCCGGAGCCTCGGGGTCATGTGCAAAGCAGTGCACGGTTTGGGGAAGGGAGCAGTCTATTTGTTTCCAAACAGTTTAGAATTTGACACAAGGTGATACCAGCCCCCTTTCCCCTCTCCATCCCACCCAATCTCTGTTTCCCCTATTTATCTGCCAAGTCTACCATAACAGTGGCCTCCTGATGATGAATAAACACTCCGGGCTATGCTGAAACAGGAGAATATGCCCAAAGGGTCTAGGTGGGGAGATCAGCCAAGCAGGAAAGAAACGTTTGTACTCCTTCTGCCTTTTGTTGGGTTTCAGTGGGTGGTTTTGCCGGCCTTTAAGCTTTGTGTTGCTTGTCTTTGTTCTCTCCTCAATAACTGATTAAGCCTCCAACCTAAATATTAGCCTCACCAGATGCTGATGGCTACAGAGAAACATCACTTTGACAAAGGAGAAGGAGAATCCATGGCAACCAGCAGCAGGAATTCAAAGCCACAAAACAGAGACCCCGGGCTGCAGGACTTCAGAGATACCCCAGGCAGTTCACACGGGGGGTTTCATCAGCTCTGGCTTCCTGCATTGCACTCACTTCCCTGTTGGAATAACCCTGATGCTCCCCAAGAGCCTCTTATCAGTAATATGGGGAAGGATCAACACGCAAGAAAGCAGGACCGGTGAAGAGCAGCATTTACCATGACCAGGTAAATGGCACATTTACTACTTTCTGAGGTAGATTTTAGCTTGTAAGCCAGGCCCCCTTGCCAAGGAAGAACAGCATCCCACAAAGTGGCCTCGTTACTAAATCCAAAATTTTCAGCTAAGTTCGGATTTTACCCTATCTGCGGGTTTAGTACATAAGCACACCTGAAGACAATGCGCCCGTACAGCCATCAGTAAGCACACTGTCACAGGCCTATTCACAGAGCCAGGCAAAAATCCAGAGAGAGAGAAAACCAGGAAGAAAAAACCACAAAAAGAAACGGAACAAACAGACTAATAATGAAAAACATTGCCTGGATGCCAAGTACAATACAGTGTCCATCCACAGATGTCATAGGAGATCACTGATCTCATGGACCCTGGCCTGTTCTGCCTACAGACTGAAATATTTTCTCTGGAGCTGGGTAACAACGAGGACTCTTGTCACTGGGGCATTTCAGCAGCTCGAGCAGCCTCAGGGTAGCGCGGTATGTTCACTCAGCACAACAGCTACACGTT